TTCTGCGACTCTATTTGGATCACGGCTGAGATAAATCAGCGCAGTTTCCTCCTAGGGTGCATCTACAGTCTCCCACATATTGACAAAACTGTAATCAGATTTCTAGCGGAAATATTCAGTTGCATAACTGACCATTTGGCTAAGTACAAATTAGTCGGAGAGGAGTTCAATTTGTCTGAACTATCGTGGCACATACATCCCCACCTAGGTTGTCGGAGTTTCTATCGACTATTTGTTCGCAAGACTGCTCACAGCACGTTTCGTCGCCAACACGAAATGACACGATTCTAGATCTCGTCTACACTATAGGAATTCTTGATGGTAATGGCAAGATCCTGAACAAACTTCCGGGCAGAGATCATAATATGGTGTTATCCAACTGCACTATGCCCACACAAGCATCGAAGGCCGAGTACATTGAGATATTCTATCGGCCATACCGTTCGATCAACTGGGACGCGTTCGCAACGCTACTAAGGTCAACGTAATGGGATAGATTCTTAATCAAATGTGACCCAGATGTTGCCGCTGAAACTTTGTATCATAATATAGACCAACGCTTCGACACTATCGCACCAGTTTTGATAAAGAAACGCCCCAACATTACTGCGGACGCTTGCGCCAGCACCGTTTCTAAACGAGAAATCAGCAAACTAGTCAGCTGCTATAAAAAATCTCATAACTTCACCATACTATATCTGGTCCATAATGTAATCTGCAAGTTTGAATATGGTCGAGTTGAGAGACGGTGTTATGAAGAACATCGAGCTCTTGTAGACTCAAATAAGCTGAAGGAGCTTAGAAAGCATCTCAGAAGAAGAGGAGGATGCAGAAACGACTGTATCACCTCAACTGCCATCTCTACCTCCTCGTCAACTGATGATCCTGTAGTCATTAGCAATCTTTTCAACGGGCACTTTCGTTCCTCCTTCAACTGCGATACAAATGACCAACAAACCATATCGTCGAAACGGCTTACAGACGGTATGTTATGGACAGTAGACTTTCCTATAGCAGAAATATAGTAATCGCTTAGCGCCATGAAGCCGTGTTTTAACGGTAGTCCTGATGGAATTCCTGCAGCTTTATTGAAATACGGAGGTCCGGATATCCCGCTTATTTTGCAAAACATATTTACCTTGTCAGTGAAGACCAGCACTTTTCCGTATCACTGGAAACACGCTGATGTTGTACCAAGATATAAACAAGAGTCAAAACGGGATGTTGCAAATTACTGCCCGATTAGCCATACTTCCATACTTCTTAAAACTATGAAAAGGATTATAAAGGCTACGAGTTCCCAGTTGCTAGTATCAAGGAACCTAATCAGTCAATCACAACATGGCTTTAGTAAACAGCATTCTTGTCAGTCTTTCCAACTAGACTTCTTAAACCACATCACAAGCTCAGTCGACGGTGGTAACGCTTATATAGTCATATTCCTTGACATGCAAAGACTTTTGACCAAGTGCCCCATGGTAGGCATTTGACCATTCTAGCATGGCATGGCATTGCTGACCCTCGATTTTCTTGGTTCTCCTCATACCTAACCGACAGAACCCAAGCAGTCAAGATAGGCAATCACACGTCAGATCGCACCCGTGTGACAAGTGGCATCATTCAAGGCAGCGTTCTGGGTCCACATCTCTTCTTGGTGCATATAAATGACATTTTTGACGTTATTGTATATGGTAGACCTTCATATTTGCAGACGATATAAAAGTTGTGTACACATTTGATCCCAGGAATCAAAAGTTCGTGTTCCGAACCACACAAACTGAACTGAATGCACTTGAAGTATGGTGTTATACTTTAAAAATGAATTTCTCCATCGAAAAGAGTAATGCCATCTCATACAAATGTGATATGAATATCCAACCGCTAATCTTCCCCGGTAAAGCCCTAGCAAATGCTAAGCAAATAAGAGAGTTAGGGCTTCACTACTCCAGCAGCCTGGACTTCTCCGAACATACACGATACACTGTCGCTAAAGCCAAGAAAAAGATGCACCGTTTCTCAAACTCTTTACCTTAACAAATGCCAAACTTACATTGTACAAGACTTGAACACGCCCAATGTTAGTCTACTGCTGTATGGTATTCGGTAAAGCAAGACAGTGACACAGTGACACTAGAGCGCGTTCAGAGTGCCTTTACAAGACAGATCCTGGGCCCTACTCAGAGGTTCACGTACTCTGAACGCTGTAAATTGCTGATGTTGGACCCAATATGGCTACGTAGAATAAAGCTAAACATATCGCTGCTTTTTGGTGTAATTCATGGGGGCATTCATACACCTGGATACTCTCCCCAATTACAACACAATAAACATTACTTTATCCGTAATAAAAATTGCACACTTACGATTGCAAAGTCGCGCACCAACATGCGGGCAAACATTTTCCTCATTAGCTATGCATTTATCTGGAATCGTCTCCCACTGTCCATTAGGTCATGCACATCTCCTCACATGTTTTGAGTACAACTAGATAAATTTCCCACAGTCACAAAAGCTATGAAACTTTTCAAGCTAAATATCACTGCGACAGAGATTTATCAGAAGGGACCAAAGGGTATATAATGCATGTCCGTGATACATACCAGTGGTACACTTAAAAGCTTCATTGACATCACAGAAGACAAAAAAGAAAAAAATGGGACCAACTTTTCATGCCCAACCTTCCATAATTTATCACTTTCTCTCCTTACCCGGCCATACCAACCTCAAGACCTAAATAACAATTTGGTGGCTAAAGAGGGGCGTTAAACCGAGTTCTTCATTCATCTGACCAATGTTATATTTTTTTCCTTCCTCGGCCATGCCGACCTCATGGCTTTCATGCCCACATGGAAGTCGACGATAGAAAGTAAACCGAGTCCTCCTTTTCACTCTAGGACCTCTGTTATATCCTCTCATTAACCGGCCATGTCTATCTCAAGGTCTTCATGACCACATAGATGCCAATGAAGATGGTCAACCGCGTACTCATCCTCTTCTACCCGACGACTATTACACTATACCTTTTCAATCATCTTGTACCGAGTGATGGTTTCTATTGCTAACTCTGTCACAGATAAGCATGCCGGCGTATCAAGGTACTATAAAAGATAGATCTGCTATGCGCCTACCCAAAGCAGTGTTTGAGTACCGCCTACGCTATAAATCCCGAAATAGTGGCGGGCATATTGGCAATATATAGGTGTGCAAGCCTGACCCATTGTAATGAAGGACAATTTCGAATGTGATATCATTAGCTAACATGCGTGCTTCATTGACCTATGTTTAATCCCTTTATGCTGATGATCACATTATTCACGACCTGTATCATATTTTCTTCAAAATATTTTAAATTTGCTAAAATTGACATAATTACGGCAGTCTTCTTTGGGTGCAAATCGATTAACCTGTCCACCGTTCTATCTTTCCAACATGCCTCTCCAAGCCTCGTCCAAATGCTGCGGTGAAATATTCCCATACGCCTGGATGCTTGATGTATGCATTGCGTTCTGCAACATGACGAAACAATCAAGCGCAAGCCGCTCCCGACTACTGTACTATGATAGTCTACACCGCTTGCCAAGCATATGTAAGCATTTGACTAACAAAATATCTACATTGTAATAACTTCGCAAACTAACAGTCAACATATGATTGCCGCTGTTTTTCTAAAAGATCTGAATGACCGTTCTCTTTCACACTTATCTGCATCAATAACAAAGTTGCGAAACACTTGTACATTTCGATCGGACCAACATACTGGTCCGTGTCTCGCACAGTCAAGAAATAAACAAATTTATTTAATTAGTTAGTTAGTTATGCCACTGTATCTGTGTGCATAATTCGACTTATTTTATTTGATATCATCCTATCAAGTGATTGGTTGTTGCTTGATATCCCCGGCGTGGCTGCGCTTGATGCACATGTTGACAAGATGCATACCTGACTGATACCTAGTACTTCGTCCAATACTGGCTCTAGGAGACAGTTGGTCATTGCTGGAGGGGACGGGGTACACTGTCCTTGTGGCCGAAGAGTGGTTCCATGCACTCGGTCTGGAGCGGACCACGGTCCAGCCACGACCTTGTGTGTGTGCATGATTCCCCAACTACCGTATGCTTGTGTTTGCCTGTGAAGGAGTGTGGGCCGGCTCCGTTGATGAAACGTGGCTCCCATCCACATGCTTCCCGGTCTTATTCCTTCTGGTTTACAGTGGATATGGGGCGTGTGGATGGAGCTGTGGGTGGTGCAGCGCAAGCCACCCATGTTCCCTCTGTAGGCGTAGGCGTCCTTTGGCTGACCACAGTGAAAGGCAAATCGGAAACCGGATGAGACTAAGCATTAAGGAAACTGTTTGACACGACTATCAGGTGAGAAACCACCCACAGTGGAGTTCCACATGAAGTGAAACAACGGGATTATCACTCCTCTGTCTAACGTAACCCCTACGGTTGAGTTCTGATGACTTCGCATCATACTACCCCGGTCTCATCTGGTTTATCACAACGGATTTTAAGAACAGGATGAAGCAGGATGAAGCTGTGGCGTAGCATAAACCTGAACGCCGAGTTAATTCCAATCTGGCACCAAACAGTTAACCATCGGCTGTCAATCGTGAATATTCATGGCCCACAAGCAAGGCAGCGCTAGACACCATAATTAGTAGTCAGTTCGACGATTTTTATGCGATATTAATTTCCTCTGTCTGGGCACCTTCTTTGATGTCAGAGCGGTGAGCAAGCCTTGACAACTCAGAGCACCGGTTGCCTTACAGGATGACGGAAGGTGCCCGGCTGATATCGGTCAAATCTAGTATATTTTGGTCGCGTTTAGCTGAGAATAGTAGGCAGTTTTGCTACAAGTTAGTGCACACGTTTTAACTTGTGATAAATACCAGATGTATTGAAACGTGCCAAGTGCTTTAGTGCAGTGTGGCAAGGTGAGGTGTGTATGCGTGTGTGTGTGTGTGTGTGTGCGTGTGTGTGCCGTTGGTACAAAGAACGTTATAGAGGTGCTAACAGTCTTCGACGTTGTAGTATCCAAGCAGAATATAACAGCAGTGCGAAAATGGCGATAAGCTTGAACACAAAACACATCGAACGAGCAAAAGCAAGTAACACATTGCCGGTATAAACAGGGAATTGATGAATGGAGGGGCAGAGGATGGGGAAATGGGAAATGGGAAAGCGTATTTAGTGCTGCTGTGTGAAATTTTTCATGCGCTGACAACAAAACATTTGTTGAATAGCCTACGGCACAAGATGACGCTTGAGCGATATGGCCCTCCTGTCATAGCAAGCGAATCTCCTGGCTCTGACACTTCTGATGCAACTAAGAGTACTTGTCGGTTCATGGTTGCTGAGCCGCTACAACATCATCTTTACAATTCTCCAAAACGGTCGCAACGGTGTTTTATCCCAAAATCACACTGATGACAATGCGTTTGCTTCTGTAGGCGATATTCATGTTGGTTAGAACCTCTGACTTGGTAGTTATGGCCAGCTGTCCTAACACTCAAACCCCTTGTAGCTGATACGTGACAACATGTCACCAACTCGTCTTCAGTAATCTAACACTCGCAAACATAGTTTCTCTTGGCAAAAACGTCGATTTACTGGGTTTGTTGGACAGGTTGCTGGACACTGCCATATGAACTGTTCCGTATACACCACTGAGAACCTAGATAAGGAGAATTTCGGCTCTACGCAACTAGGATCCCTGGTCTGTTAGATGTAGAGATCCGCGAGTTATTAAAGTATCATATGATTAAATCTAATAAGAGAATACGTTGCTTTACGGTTGGGTAGCGTAACACTTACTTGCTCCGAATTTTCTTTCTGAATCAACGACAATTCCTGATCGATGATCCGCAGTCGGGCAATTTCTCCTCGGACCTCAGATGAGTCATTGAGGACTGGATCTCCGGGTCGAATTGGTTGTTGACACTAAAATTGAACGCCCATACAGAAGAAGGCTATAAGCATGAGGGTTCAAGTGCGTTCCATTAGTTGGGAAACTAATTACTACGAAGCGTGGTGCTCAGAACAGTTAAGAAGATGAAGTGTCCAGCTGGTTAATGTCGTTGTCCTAATCGCTTTTGTGCATGAGTTCTGCACTTGAAAAGACTAGTTGGTCATTATTAACATTGCTACGGTTGTCGACCTAAGTTGCGATTAAGGGGAAGTCCATTAGACATATAATTTTTGTGATACTTCTTAGTTACTGCTTTCGCTTCGCCGTCGTCTGTTTCCTGCCATTTGTTTAAACGCGTCATTTCTTTAATTTGAATGGCCAGCATACGTCTCAAGGTCCCATTTCAACTGATACTGTTTTACGCACTCTTACTTCATGGCTCTTAATTTTATCGCCTCTTATTCGCCTGCCTCATTCAACGTCACCTATGTTGTTGGTTGGTCCCGGTGGGCTATAGTAAGTTTGTTTCACCCATTATTGTATCCTATATAGGGAAGCAGTGTTCTCATGCATACGATTCGGTCCTGGCTCGTCTTCCTGTTCTCATTGCGGTCCTAGGGTGGGAACAGTCGGTGGCGATACAACAGTTGAGCCGAGTTGAGTCACCTTCGGAGACTTTGAATTGCCGACCACACAGCCCTTCGCTCGCGAACGCAACTGATGCAGGAGAGCATTGAGATAATTTGGTGGCGAAGTAGTCCGAAAGGATACAGAAACTTTTGTTTCTGCCCCCACATAAAGAAAAATAGCCAGTGTATATCGGGAGACGATATAACGTGACAAACAGTGCATCAATTAGCATTACCCTACAAAACCGAGGTACGCATGCCTCCGTGTAAACATTATGGTAGGTCCACCAAAACACTTTTCGTTTTAAGTGAGGTTCATCGCAACCAGTTTCCAAATCAGGTAGTCGTCTACATGCCCGAAAACTCACTAGACTGCAGTTTCAGCCTGTTAGGCATCGTCAGTAGTGCGCATCCATCGGATCCGTCAGGATTCGAACCCATGACCACCAGCGGCTTGAACCGCCAGTCAGCAGCTTATGCCACTAGGCCACGGGGGACAGCTTCGGACCGTCATGATTTACAATCTCTTTGTTTTAGCCTAATGTTTCTTTTCCCATTTTATGGTTCTCATCCTAGCACCCCACGGGGTTTGTTTAGCACGCCTCTTTTAACCTGTAATATACCGTTGCTCCACTGTTTTTACGCATCATCAAGCAACAGGTCGGCCTCACATGTGTTCGGAACCGGAAACATTCCTCCTCTCAGTTATTAATTGCTCCCGTGGATGCTGAAATAGGGCGATACTCTCCCTTCGTCGCCGTACTTGTCAAGGACGAACGAAAGAGGTAACGAAGGTTTTGGGCCTTTTTGGGAGTGTGATGGCTGCCTAACTGATTCTAGCTGTTATAAATCTCCATGAACACTCACTGTGCGTCTGTTATCGACCTCGGACTACTCTGATTCTGTGAAATTACGCCGTGCCAAATAAGCAACATTTGGCTATCCAATCTGTCATAGGTAAACCCCGAAACTATTTGATAGATAGCTACCGTGTTGGTCCGCCGTTTCCATATGAAGCTGGATTTTGACCCACATTTAGTTTTACAAGGTGAACGGTAATAAGTTCGGTATCTTGTTTCCGTATCATCAGCCAACGGAATTCGGAGATGCTGGTTGGTCGCTTTGCAGGGCGTATTTTACATGCCACATGGATCAACTGTTGGGTGGGTTGAAATCATCGCTTAGAAAGTCAGATTCCCGAGACTGGGTTTTACACCCATCTGCAATGGACGTAGGTTTGCTCAAGAAGAGGAGTGCACGAACTGCAACTTCCCCACAGTCAGAGGACAAATGACAACGCTGATTGTGGTAATGAACGATCAAGACATCGCTCACCCAAACATCCTCAACATTGGTAAATGTGATGGGTGCTTAGTGTTCCATAAGTCTGCCGCGTGAAAATTCATAGAAGTAAATGGGACGAAAGTATGATGAATCCTTTTTTATACATGTAAAACACTCCGTGTCTTACCACAAAAGCCAATTTTATGTTAGTTGATTTCATTGTTGCTTTTGTGTGATAGCCAAATAAGGAGGGTGCTGATATGTATCTGTCCTTGACCAGAAAGCGGAGGGCCAGGTTCATAAAATGGCACACTTATTTAATACCTCCACCCCTGAAACTGATGCATTTGGTACAGCGTAGTTGAAGCTTTTCTAAACCAGTCAGGTAAAATTCATTTGGTTGTGCCTCGAACCAGCTGTCAACAGCATGCTTGATGTTAGTAATGTCTTCAAAACGCAGCCCCATCACCAGTTTCTCCAAGTTCTGGAAGAGATAATGTGGCCTGATCAAGTGACTAGGGGGATGGCATACTAATTGGCATACTAATTGGAGAGCCAGGGTGTTCAGTTTCGCAGTCACAACATTGGAAGTATACGCACGTGTAGGAAAAGGATCACCAGTCCATGACGTCGCGTCTTACTCGCGTCGTTCAGCTATTCCAGGAAGTTATCATAATACTGTCCGATGATACTGGAACCCTGGGGAAAGCAGTCCACCTTGGTCTTGGAAAAAGAACCCCATGACATTTTGGCCGATTTTTGGCTGAATAGCTTCTTCGGCCGCTTGGACCCACTGTGGAGCAATTCTTTTTGACAGTTCCTTACTTCGGTGATCGTACATATAAAGCCAGGTTTCATACTCAGTCACTATGCTTGCCAAAACCTTCTATACAACTTCAAAATGGGCCAAAATGCGTTCGGATGATTCAACTCGTTTCTGTTTCTGACCACTGGTCAAGCATTTCGGCACCTGCTTTTCTGAAAGCTTATGCATGCCGCCGACAATAGAGATAAAAAACCCAGCTTACTTCCGTCAGTTGTCCAGGATCTGGGCAATGTTTTAAATGGATATTTGCTGGTTCTCTATACTCAGCCTCGTCAGTTGCTGGGCCAGCTGAGGTTTGGGGAGGCTCACCGTGGGACTGCTCTTCAATCTTCAATCATAATAATAGTAAACAATAAAGTAACTCGTCAGCTGTACGTGCCCGTAACGGCGTTTCGCTTCCGCGCGACCACCACGTCGCGAGCAGGCTGAGTATACCGGGAGGACGCCCACCCCTATGCTGATTCGAACCGGCGACCTTTTGGTTGCAAACCAAACGTGAAGACCACTCGACCACCTATCGACGGTTTGGAAACGAGATATCCAGGTTTTGGCAGTGTTTTCGGAAGCGCACTACTCCCACAATATTCGTAATCACATTGTGTATTTCATTCGCGGACTTTTTCTGGAGAAACCATGTCTTCATGACCGATGGGAGAACTCAAACAATGTGAAAATTATTTTGCTTCTGCCACCAGAACTTCCGCTTAGAAGCCAAGTTGTTCGAACTACGAACACCTGATTTTTGTACAGTCATATTTTCAGATATTAAGGTTTCATATATTCCACTACACTCCTTTTCCTAATTGGTGTAGAAGGGAGTGAAACTAGGAAGTTGTTAGCACACCTTCGTATATTCACAACATAAGCATATAGGTGTGTGGGAACAATAACGTTCGAGTTTATATTAGATACAAATGGTAAGCATAGAAGTTTTAATGAATTAACAGCTGCCAAGGTGAAAGACATGTGTGCGTGTGGTTGTACATAGCCTACTAAGCATATTTCCTGCTCTCTGTTGGCTAGCATTTAAAAAAACAACGACACGGACAGGGTTTAAACCCTTGTATAAGAAATCCGAAAAATCGTTTATTAGAAATATTATAGTGATCTCCCTAATTAGAAGAAACATTAGTACAGTGCAGTGTTGGTTACATTGAAAAGATTAGTTACATGCGTTTACACACCAGGTATTTTGCGAAAAGCACATTCTTATCCCTTTTTCGGCCCGCAGACCGGTGGAACTCAACTATACTGCTACCATGGTGGGATTCGCACAGCTCCGCGAAACGTACAAATATTGCGCCTGAACTCACATCTGCAATACTGTCGTCATGCGGCGGCCCAACCTGCACAGGTAACAGCTGAGCTCCTCTCATTGGAACCGCTGTTATGTGTGGACGCAAACTGCGGGGATTCCATCTATGCTTTCCCCGTTTACACAGATTTATACATCCTCCCAAGCCTCAATGACCACATCTGTGTTTTCTTCAGGTCACTGTCATTACGTGGCAACTCATGTGTCTTGCGAACACCCACCTACTTTTATAGCTTATGTTTTTTGCTGCCATACTGCTGAGCTATAAATACGAAGGCGCTGAAGGTGTGTTTGCCTTTGGCAGAGTCAGCAAATGAACTCTTGCCATCGGCTATCCATTATTTCTAGGTCTCGATGAAATCGTTTGAGGTCACGCGTTTCCTTTCAAATTTCAGCTCGCATGCACAACTTGTAGTGAACCCGAAACATTCACTCTTTCATTAGTTTAAATCAGTGGATTTTATTATTTCTTGTATTTTTCAACCATCCGTTACGTTGACTGATTACCAATCCATATTGCTTGTGGTTGCTAGGGTAGTCGTGGTCTACGCTGCTCTCTACCCTCACTCAGTTGCTTTCTGTTCCTTGTAGCCCTTCGTATTGTATTTTGGGTCCAACCGCTCTTACTGTTCTCCGTATTCCCGTATTTGACGCCTCTTACGTGTTATCACTTCAGACTGGTATCTGAGTAGCATTCCACAAATGTCTGGTGGCTAGCTCCCTTAGCTGCACCCATCCGAATTCCATTGGCTACTCTACACGTGGAATAATACCAGAAAAATTCGTTTTGTCCGCTCTGACTGGGAGTCGGGAAACAGGCAATTTATAACAGGCGCCAAGTTCACAATGTTGTATTTAAGTTTTGTACAAAAATTTCCGTTTTACTAATTTACAAATAGCAAGCATTGAAACCTATTGACTATTTTGGCCCGCTGCTTATATACTGTTGCGGGTCAGTCAAAAATCCCCGCAAAAAGC